CTCCTCTGCGTGGCCCCCCTGAGAATGGCCTGCAATGATCGTGCTCCAGGAGATTATGTCCCTTGCTGTCATTTGGGAAAAGATTTCAAGGGCCGAATCGGGAAGACCGCATTTTGAATACATGGTCATAATCGAATTCGCCACAGATAGAGAGTCTATGAGACCCACAAGCAGGACGTGCGCGTGCAGCTGCAGGCCCCACTCGAGCTTCGCGATATTTGCGACTCCCGAAATAACTGCCGCGTAAGTGTACTCATTGGGGCTTATACCGCATGCTCGCATGCGTGAAAAGGAATTAATCCCCTGTTCCTCTTCGCCCGTCTGGAAGTACGTGGTTATCATGGACGTCCAAGAAACCACGTCCGGTTTAGTCATGCTCTCGAATAGAAACGAGCCGTATTCTACTTTCCCGCACTTATTGTACATTGTGGAAAGGCTGTTGGCCACATATGTGGTCGTGTCTACACCCCTTTTTAATATGCGGGCGTGAATCTCCTTCCCATTATGCAACAGCTCGAGATCAGCACACGCCTTGAGTGCAATAGCAAACGTGTAGGAATCATACTCGACCCCGTCCCTCCACATCTGGGATAAATATAAAAGCCCCCGGGAGTGGAGACCTGCCCGGACGAGGCCTGTGATGACTGCTGTCCAAGATACCACATTTCTTGACGGCATTTCGTCAAAGACCGCACACCCCTCAAAAACTCTTCCAGTCTTCATGTACATGTCGAGAACCGAACTCCCGACAAAAACTGAGCGGATGAAGCTGGATTTCACGGAGTACCCGTGCAGCCCTTGACCATAACACAAATTTACATTCAGGCCGCACGCTTTCAAAGCAAGGCTGAGTATAAATGGGTCCATTACGACATCCGGGTCGACCCACATTTTCGAGAACAAAGAAAGCGCTTCGGACGGGTCTGAGGAGCTGATGTAGCCGGCAATCATGGTGGTCCAGGAGATCTCGTCCCTATGGGGCATTGTGTCGAACATGTTGCGGGCAGTTTTCAGGTCGCCGGATTTTGTGAGGTGCTTGAGCTGTGAGTTGAGCTCCAGCATGTTGATCAGTGAGGAGTCATGGAGGTTATGCGTCGGGGGGTCTCTGCGGCGGTCGTCGGAAATCAGGGTGCCCGAGAAGTCGGCGTAGGCTAAGCATGAATTTGAGTATAATAATCTTCTGGTAATGGACGGCCTCAGCGATAACGCCATGTTTGACAATATCAGTAGCAAATAGCTTAGTAAATTTGTTATCAGTATTTATATGATACACCCCTGCATTTGCTTTGCTCCTAGCAAAGATGATCTTTCTTTGCATAAGAATTAATTAGGAGGGGATGTATTCCTTTAAAAATCATACCATATTAATTAATAAGACTTAATTGCAAAAAAAATCATGACCTTTTCGTAATGTGCAATTTTATACACCACCTTTTAAATTGGCAAATTAATACATCACTTTAAAAAAAATTGCAATTGTATCCATACGGGCCAAAAATCGGGTAAATTAATACATCACTTCAACAAGGAGAAGCCCGATTTTTAGCCCGTATGGATACAATTGCAAAAAATTGTTAAAGTGATGTATTAATTTGCCAATTTAAAAGGTGGTGTATAAAATTGCAAATTACGAAAAGGTCATGATTTTTTTTACAATTAAGCCTATTAATAAAATTATTAGTGTTATTTAAATAATCAGATAATTTGGTATGGTTTACTTGTTGTATATTGAAGGTTGACTCTGCTATGGAGTCAACTGTTGGCTTTATAGCAAAACCAATACGCGAATAAAGTACTGGTTAAGTCTTAAAATGTCCAAACAAAACTCATTAGTTACATAAAATTGAATACATATCTTCAAGATCTTAGCTATCTCTTTCAAATCTCATAAAAATAACTCAAGGACTTTTAAACTTTTTAAAAAGTCCATGTTAAATACACAAGAATTCTTAAAATTTATAAGTCATTTTAAGAATCCAAATGAAATTGGTCTCCACAAATGTTATGGCTCAAGTGATACCTCCCCTCAATTATTACTACCTCATATTTTTTTAAAGAAAAGAAAAAAAGCTACTTGTACAAATTTTTTTGTACAACATTCAATGACAACATGATGTGGTATAATGTGGATGGTTGAGATGCAATTAAATGTGATGATTAAAATTTTAGTTAGTGATATTTTTAACTAAATTGTCAACCAATGTTGTAAACTACAATTGTACATGTAGCATTGCCCTTTTTTAAATGTCATTTTGGTTTTACCAACAATTAACTAAATAAATGACATTTTGGATCTTTTGTACATATTTTTCTATTATTACACTCATCTAGCCAATAAATACACTACGTCTTTTCATATTTACTCTTCATCTTCTCTCAAAACATTCATCTCTATCCTCATTAATGAGGGTTATTACTGGCAAAAAAAAAAATTCTATTAAAAATAGGAAAGAGTATAAA